GACGACTACACTGCGGTGTTACCGAGGATGTGCAGTGAGCAATGATCTCTTTACTCTTTCCTCGCAGTCTTTTAACCAAGGGTTGTAATTTTTGGCTGTCATGGGCGTTGGCGAAACCTGCTCATGTTCCTAATGATTTTTGATAACTTTGTTTTTTTTCACCCCAGAGCATTTGGGGGCGGGCTGATGAGAGCCACAATGATCACATCACCATCTTGGGGCGCGCCGAACTCCGAGATCCCCTGACAGCTCTGTTGAGTGCTCATTTGATACTTATATATCCATCCGTGTGCGCACGAACGAGAGACGTGCTGCAGGTGGTCGTGCGTGAGGTTTCCGTACCAACCAGGATAGTGAAGGACAGGCGCCGCGTGTGACGTAGTACGGAGTACGTACGGAGTATTATCATCCTTATACACATCACATGTTGGACTTAACTTCCCCCTCACCGTGCCTGTAACATAACAATAACAAAATCACCGCGCGCGCCACACTGTCGGCGCCCTGTAACTCCTTGGGCAACCTTTTTTATTCCTGTCTCTCCCTCCTCCTAAATACGAGAACATCATCTGCAAATGTCAATATTCTGCCTCCAGGTGTTTCCAGGTAGGCAATCTTGCTCGTAAAAACATTCAACAGTACCGGTGAACCCAGGCGGAGAGCTACCCGGCGAGTATACAAAACGGCTGCTATCCAGTTCACCAACCATGGACAGACTCCCTTCTCCATAGCGCTTTCATCAAGATACTGTCCTCTGACACTCTGTTGTATTGTTTTTTTAAATACCCGCGCCTTCTAACTCCAAGTGCCGCTACCACCGTTTCCTGTCTGTTCTGGAAACCTCTGAAGGTATCAAAAGTAAAAACTCTATCTTATCTTTCTTATCTCTTTCCGAGGACTCCAACTCCTCCTGTGAGCTTAGGGCTGTCTGTCGCACTTTCTGTAAACGCTTTACTTCAGCTTTCTTAAACTTCCATGCCTGTTCAACCTCTGATATCCACCATGGAGGCTACACAAAAAGTAATCTGCCGGTCCTCTTACATGCCTTCTGTCGGAGGAGTCCAAGATTGGTGATAGTCCGCTCATACTTGAAAGGCCTATGCGCTCTTGAAGCCTTGACTTTCCTGGATTTGGAGATCAATATCGAACATGGCAGATGGTCACTTCCGTTATCGCTCAGGACAGTCCATTTGGTGTCCAGTACTGCTGACTGGGTAGCCTGAGCCAGGTCAATAGCCGTGTCTGCATCGCCAGACCTTATTTTCATTCTAGCTGGCGTCCTATCATTTAAACAGACAAGGTCTGAATCAAACATGGCGTCAGCAAAGGCAGGTCTCTGTCGGTTTTCCCCAGTACTGTCCCATTTATTTTTCCCTGCAACGAAATCCCCACAAATGAGGAGCCTGTTGCCAAGAATCCCCTCCAAGTCTTTCAGCAAGTCCTACTGTTGTGTAACTAAAGAGCCCACGGCAGCATATACATTCATTATGTTCTAACGTAGACCACCAATCTCCATCTGTATTCGCTGCACCTCTCTAGAATCATTGTTCAAGAGACTCAGATCAAGCTTCCCATGTTTCAAGCCCTCCTTCACTAACAGATATTGCACGTCTCACGTGATGTCCAGCAGGGTTTACGTAGCGAACATATCCAGGACAATGATATTTATCTGCATTCAGCTCCTGAAACATGATTACATCAAAGTCGTAAATTAACCTCTCTAGTATAGGCCCTCTCTGTCTGGCACTAAAATAGTTCCAAAAGCACACTCTTACATGATTGAACCCCAGCCGTTCTATTTTTCGCCTAAATCTCATGACTGCTGCCCTTTTATTTCTCTGGTTTCTTCTCTCACCATTTCCTCGTTTTCTCCTCTTCATTCTCTCTTCCCTGCTTGTCGAAGATGACGTCAAGCGCAGAGCACATGCTCCGTAGCTCCAGTCTTATTAAATGAAAATGAAAATCCATGTGTTAACTATAGTCCTGAGTCTCCAGTACCCTCGAACCCGACATTTCATACTAACTGTCAATATGTGCACATTTGGATGGCGGCTGTATCAGAGGACTGAACACGTATGGGAACGGCCGAAGTGCAGTGACGTCGATTGCGATAACATATCGTAACATAACGTAGCATGTATGTACCTTTTGAAATCACTTCAAACTGTTCTGTAGTGGTAAAACCCCGTGTCACTCAAGTGGTCAACTGCGTACTAAGTAAGAGTTAGTTACGCTTTCATTCAGGGCCTACTTACCTGTCGTCTGATAACCGTATTTTCGGTTATCTCTGCTATTTGACATTCACTGGGGCTTGGCTGGAAATATATACACTTGCTAATATGAACAGAAGTGCTTATTATCACACACACACACACACACACACACACACACACACACACACACATATATATATATGGGATTATTTACACTCAAGGAAGCAGATGGAAAAAAACGGAGATTATGACACATCAGACTGTATGTTGTTACACAAACGTATGTTGTTACACAAACGTATGTTGTTACACAAACGTATGTTGTTACACGTGTCTGTGTTATGTAACTGTGTGACTGTGTGAATGTCTGTATCATTGATTGTATGCATGTACATAAGTAGGTAATGTACGTACGTACGTACGTACGGACGCACGCACGCACGCATGCACGCACGCACGCACACACGCTGGCACGCACGCACGCATGCATGCATGCATGCATGCATGCATGCATGCATGCATACATACATACATACCTACCTACCTACCTACCTACCTACCTACCTACCTACCTACCTACCTACCTACCTACCTACCTACCTACCTACCTACATACATACATACATACATACATACCTACCTACCTACCTACCTACCTACCTACCTACCTACCTACCTACCTACCTACCTACCTACCTACCTACCTACCTACCTACCTACCTACCTACCTACCTACCTACCTATCCTACCTACCTACCTACCTACCTACCTACCTACCTACCTACCTACCCTACCTACCTACCTACCTACCTACCTACCTACCTACCTACCTACCTACTACTACTACCTACCTACATACATACATACATACCTACATACATACATACATACATACATACATTACATACATACATCATACATACATACATACATACATCATACATACATACATACATACATACTACATACATACATACATACATACATACATACATACATACATACATACATACATACATACATACATACATACATACATACATACATACATACATACATACATACATACATACATACATACATACATACATACATACATACATACATACATACATACATACATACATACATACATACATTGTAGCTGCGTCTCTATAAGACAAGACAACACTGTTGACGGACTCGTGATGTTGTAGCTACGTCTCTATCAGAAAACAAGACAACACTGGTGACGGACTCGTGGTGTTGTAGCTACGTCTCTATCAGACAACAAGACAACACTGTTGACGGACTCGTGGTGTTGTAGCTACGTCTCTAGAAGACAACAAAACAACACTGTTGACGGACTCGTGATGTTGTAGCTACGTCTCTATCAGACAACAAGACAACACTGTTGACAGACTCGTGGTGTTTTAGCTACGTCTGTATCAGAAAACAAGACAACACTGGTGACGGACTCGTGGTGTTGTAACTACGTCTCTATCAGACAACAAGACAATACTGTTGACGGACTCGTGATGTTGTAGCTACGTCTCTATCAGACAACAAGACAACACTGTTGACGGACTCGTGGTGTTGTAGCTACGTATCTATCAGACAACAAGACAACACTGTTGACGGACACGTGATGTTGTAGCTACATCTCAATTCAGACAACACGACAACACTGATGACAGACTCGTGGTGTTGTAGCTACGTCTTTATCAGACAACAAGACAACACTGTTGACGGACTCGTGGTGTTGTAGCTACGTCTCTATCAGACAACAAAACAACACTGTTGACGGACTCGTGGTGTTGTAGCTACGTATCTATCAGACAACAAGACAACACTGTTGACGGACTCGTGATGTTGTAGCTACGTATCTATAAGACAACAAGACAACACTGTTGATGGACACGTGATGTTGTAGCTACGTCTCTATCAGACAACAAGACAACACTGTTGACGGACTCGTAGTGTTGTAGCTACGTCTCTATCAGACAACACGACAACACTGATGACAGACTCGTGGTGTTGTAGCTACGTCTCTATCAGACAACAAGACAACACTGTTGATGGACACGTGATATTGTAGCTACGTCTCTTTCAGACAACAAGACAATACTGTTGACGGACTCGTGATGTTGTAGCTACGTCTCTATCAGACAACAAGACAACACTGTTGATGGACACGTGATATTGTAGCTACGTCTCTATCAGACAACAAGACAACACAGTTGATGGACACGTGATGTTGTAGCTACGTCTGTATCAGACAACAAGACAATACTGTTGACGGACTCGTGGTGTTGTAGCTACGTATCTATCAGACAACAAGACAACACTGTTGATGGACACGTGATGTTGTAGCTACGTCTGTATCAGACAACAAAATAACACTGGTCACTGGCTCGTGATGTTGTAACTACGTCTCAGTCAGACAACAAAACTACACTGGTGAGAGACCGGTGATGTTATGGCTAAGTCTCTATCAAACAACAAGACAACTTGTCACGGAGTTAATCCCCCAAAACGAATCGTCAAAAGGAAAATACACCACAGTCACAACTACCCACATAATGAATTCATTGCAAGTGTTTCTGAAAATGTGTATTGTCTGTCTGTGTTATATTCTAGGTGCCGATTCAGCCGTTGTCTGTCGGAGGTGTGCACTCCACGAGGCTCCGGGAAAAGCTTTCGTTGTGTGGAATTTAGCTTGTGATTTATTCATAGTCTTGTTTCTACAAGCTTCCAATTAGCATGCTGCATTAGTGTCTGCAAGAGAAACACAAGGAAAACGACAGGATGGCGGTAAGAATCATATTTTATCTGATTAATTATTTCTACAAATATAGTTTGCCTCGGGGGCTAGCCGTGTCTGCTGAACTGGTTGGTATAGGTTCAGTTGCCATCGAGGGGCATTAACAAAAATATCAAGTAGATCAAACCAACTTAAACAAATTTGTTTTTGGAAATGCTCAGTAACGTCTCTGTTTGTTTTTATTGTTGTTGTTGCTGTCGTCGTCGTTCTTCTTCCTCTTCTTCTTCGTCTTCTTCTTCTTCTTCTTCTTCTTCTTCTTCTTCTTCTTCTTCTTCTTCTTCTTCTTCTTCTTCTTCTTCTTCTTCTTCTTCTTCTTCTTCGTCTTCTTCTTCGTCTTCTTCTTCTCTTCTTCTTCTTCTTCTTCTTCTTCTTCTTCTTCTTCTTCTTCTTCTTCTTCTTCTTCTTCTTCTTCTTCTTCTTCTTCTTTCTTTCTTCTTTCTTCTTCTTCTTCTTCTTCTTCTTCTTCTTCTTCTTCTTCTTCTTCTTCTTCTTCTTCTTCTTCTTCTTCTTCTTCTTCTTCTTATTATTATTATTATTATTATTATTATTATTATTATTATTATTATTATTATTTTTTTTCGTCTTCTTCGTCTTCCTCTTCTTCTTCTTCTTCTTCTTCTTCTTCTTCTTCTTCTTCTTCTTCTTCTTCTTCTTCTTCTTCTTCTTCTTCTTCTTCTTCTTCTTCTTTTTCTTCTTTTTTTTTGACGCTCTGTCTTTAGCTGCAAGGTCATGGCCTTGAGTCCACATCGACCTTGACTTACGGGTATCAGGTAATGTCCTGGAAAGTAAAGGCGGTCGGCACAGAATGTCCGTTGGTTAATTCTGAAAAATGAGTCTAACATCATATGTCCCATGCCACACTAGCATAAAAAGACTCCTTTGCGTTTACTGGAAACAAAAATGTTTGAGGTAAAATACAATTGTTGTGTGAAAGATGAGTGCTTGGAATGGCCAAATGTAAGACACCTGTACAAATGTTTCTTCATCACAATGTCAGTGCACCAATCCATCTGTCTGTCCACTCGTCACTCGATATGTCCATTCGTTTGTTTATCCTTCAGTCCGCCCTTCCGTTCCAAATTTCCTCTGTCCGTCGTTCCGTCTCTCCGTCCATCTACCTCTTTCTCAGTCTTCCCAGCTTCCACCTGTTCGTCTTTTACACTGTCCAATTATTTGTTTGTAATGGAGACACGCTTTTGGGGGCGGGGAGGGGGGGGCGGGGGTGGGGTGCGCCTAGTTTGTCATGTTCCTAGTTCACCTGTTTGCATAGCAGGGCACACACGCCATCTGGAGGTGGCAGGCTCGATTCTCGGCACAGTGACTATAGCTTTCGATTTTTATGTTGTCTGGTGTGTCCTTTTATCTTTCTACTTTTTTTTTCTTTCCATGATTGGCGATCAATACACTGTCTATTTGTTTGTTATATATGTATACAATTTCTCAGACCTTAAGGGTTCGAGCTGTCTTTTTTTTTAATGTGTGTTTGTTTAAATGCTTATACTTCAGCGCCAAACACTCCATGTACAACTTCCTCCCCACAGAAACATGTTATAACTGTGGACTGGGCACCTCAGCATACGTAATAGTGCTGGACTGAGCCCGATCTTTCATGTTTTCCTTGTGTCACCGCACCTGATCAACACGGCGAATGCTACTTTGTCGACCACAATAAATCGAGGCTTCCACACAACCTTAAGGGTAGTGAGCATACAGTGGCAAAACGATATTTTGCTGGCTATGAACACTTGGTAATAATGGCATCCGTCAGTCCCGGGGGACTATGGAGATGTGCCGCTGGCTTTGGGAACAGCATCTGCTGTGACTGTATAGTCCGATGCGGGAATGGCAGCCTTTGCCACACAGGATACACACAAAAGCAGATACTCTCTCGTTGTGAGGCAGTTTTACTCTCCGGTGTCTCCTCTCCACAGCTCGTTGTGTTCGGTTTCTTTCAAAATGTGACAGTCCGTCTTTCACTTTCTGTCTCCATAGTAGTCGATCTGCAGCTGATTTTTCCCATGTCTCTGTGCCTATGTTGGTATCTATTAGGTCACGTTTGCATACATCTTTATAGCGCAGCTTTGGCCTTCCTGTAGGTCTATTCCCAGTTACCAATTCACCATATAGGAGATCTTTTGGAATACGACCATCCTCCATGCGAGAGACATGTCCCAGCCAGCGCAGACGTCTTTGCTTCAGTATACAATACATTGATGGTATTTTTGCTCTTGTGAGCACACATTCGTTGGAGACAAGGTCTCGCCATAATATACCAAGGATGCGTCTCAGACAGCGCATATGGAAGGTATTCAGTCTTTTTTCCCGTGGAGCATAGAGAGTCCAGGATTCGCAGCCGTACAGTAATGTGCTCAGGACACAAGACACTTGGTACTTTTCCTGGTACTAATATTAAACTGGAAAACAAGGTCAGTTATGAAACAAATATGATTCAATGCGGATTTGAACCTACGACCTTTGATCAAC